GACGCCTAGAGGGGCGTGATTGGGAGGAATGGCCCCCCCCGATCTGAACTCGAGTGGTGTTTTGTTATTGGACTTCTGTGCTAGTCACAGTTTGTCCATAATGAACACCATGTTCAAGCATAAGGGTGTCCATCAGTGCACATGGCACCAGGACACCCTAGGCCGGAGGTCGATGATCGACTTTGTGGTTGTTTCATCTGACCTCCGGCCGTATGTCTTGGACACTCGGGTGAAGAGAGGGGCGGAGCTGTCAACTGATCACCACCTGGTGGTGAGCTGGATCCGATGGCGGGGGAGGAAGCTGGACAGACTCGGCAGACCCAAACGTATTCTGAGGGTCTGTTGGGAACATTTAGCAGAATCCCCCGTGAGAGAGATCTTCAACTCCCGCCTCCGGCAGAGCTTTGACCAGATCCCGGGGGAGGCTGGAGATATTGAGTCCGAGTGGACCATATTCTCCACCTCCATTGTTGATGCTGCCGTTCAGAGCTGTGGCCGTAAGGTCTCCGGTGCCTGTCGTGGTGGCAATCCCCGAACCCGGTGGTGGACACCGGAAGTAAGGGATGCCGTCAAGCTGAAGAAGGAGTCCTTCCGAGCCTGGTTGGCTCGTGGGACTCCTGAGACAGCCGACGGGTACCGGCAGGCCAAGCGGGCTGCAGCCCAGGCGGTTGCGGAGGCAAAAACTCGGGTCTGGGAGGAGTTTGGTGAGGCCATGGAGAAGGACTATCAGTCGGCCTCAAAGAGATTCTGGCAAACCGTCCGGCGCCTCGGGTGGGGGAAGCAGTGCCCTGCCAAAACTGTTTACAGTAGAGGTGGGCAGCTGTTGACCTCAACTGGGGACATTGTCGGACGGTGGAAGGAATACTTCGAGGATCTCCTAAATCCCGGCGCCATGTCTTCCAATGAGGAAGCAGAGGCTGAGGGCTCAGAGGTGGACTCGTCCATCACCCAAGCTGAAGTCACCGAGGTAGTCAAGAAGCTTCTTGGTGCCAGCCACCAGGAGTGGATGAGATCCGCCCTGAGTACCCTAAGTCTCTGGATGTTGTGGGGCTGTCTTGGTTGACACACCTCTGCAACATCGCATGACGGTCAGGGACAGTTCCTCTGGACTGGCAGATCTGGGTGGTGGTCCCTCTTTTTAAGAAGGGGGACCGGAGGGTGTGTTCCAACTATAGGGGAATCACACTCCTCAGCCTCCCCGAGAAAGTCTATGTCAGGGTAAATGGTAAATGGTAAATGGACTGTATTTTATATAGCGCTTTCTCACAGTGTGTTGCACTGGCCAAAGCGCTTTACAGAGA